AGTTATGCATGACTCAGTAGCACGGATTCCACTCACCAAGGCTACAGCCACTGCTAAGTGCCCAGAATGCCAGCAGTAGAGATCAACATGGAGCCTCCACTACGTAACTATTTCCTGGGCTGATCAGCTAGCTATCTGGTTGCAGATTGATTACAGAGGACCACTTCCATCATAGAATGGGCAGCATTTTGTCTTTATTGGAATAGACATTTACTCTGGATAAGGACTTATCCTCCCTGCATGCAATGCTTCTGCAAAATTACCACCCATGGACTTATAGCATGTCTTATCCACTGGCATTCCACACAGCATAGTTTCTGACCAAGGAACTTACTGGCAGTGGGCTCATGCTCATGTACTTAACTCTTCTTTCCATATTTCCTACTAAGCTAAAACACTTGGCTTGATGTAAAAGCCTTCCGAAAATTCGTTTTAGCACCAACTAGGTGACAATACCTCAATGGGCTGAGGCAAAGTTCTCCTGAAAGTTGTGTGTGCCCTAAATCAGCATCCAATACATAGTATAGTTTCTCTAATAGTCAGGATTCACAAATTCAAGAATCAAGAAATGGAAATGGAGTAGTACCATCATTACCCTTAATGACTTACTAGAAAAAATTTTTGCTTCCTGTTGCCAAGACTTGGTGCTTTGCCGTCCTAGAGGGCTCATTCCTGAGGAATGACATAAAAATTCCATTGAGCTGGAAGTTAAGACTGCAACCAAGCCATTTTGGGATCCTCATGTCTTTAACTCAATAGGCTAAGAAGGGAGTTGAGATGTGGGTTGGGGTAATTGATCCAGACTTCCATAGGGAATCGAACTGCTCTACTATGATGAAGTTAAGAGCGACTATTCCTCAAGTGCAGCTCTTTTAGGATGTGTCTTAGTGTTACCATACCCTGTGATTAAGATGGTAAACAACAACCCAATCCAGGCATGATTACGAAAGGCCCAGACTCAAAAATGGTTTGGGTCACCCTGTTAGGTAAAGACCCATGGGGCTTGCTGAAGGTAAAGGATATATATATAATGCATAGTAGAGGGTAATTATAAATACTAGCTAGCTGACTAGATATAGAAAAATGGCTTTTTTATTTATTTATTTTTTTAATTTTTATTGTGGGTTGTTCAAAACATTACAAATTTCTTGACATATCATATTCCACACTTTGATTCAAGTGGGTTATGAACTCCCACCTTCACCCCATACCCAGATTGCAGAATCACATCAGTTACACATCCATTGATTTACAAATTGCCATACTAGTGTCTGTTGTGCTCCGCTGCCTTTCCCATCCTCCACCCTCCCCCCTCCCCACCTCTCCCCTCCCCTCCCCTCCTCTCTCTCTACCTCCTCCACTGTATAACCCTGAGGGTCTCCTTCCATTACCATGCAATTTCCCTTCTCTCTCCCTTTCCCTCCCACCTCTCATCCCTGTTAAATGTTAATCTTCTTCTCCTGTTCTTCGTCCCTACACTGTTCTTAGTTACTCTCCTTATATCAAAGAAGACATTTGGCATTGTAGAGTATGCTTACATGTATATACACATCTATTAAGCAAATCTTTTTTTCCCTCTAATTCCTTTATCATGTGACATAAGATGTATTGAGTTTACATCAGTATTTAAGTGTTGTTAATTTTGCAATATAGACTTTAAATTATGACCTATCTGGAGAAAGCAAGCAGGGAAAAGAGGAGTTCTCTCTCTTCTGGAGTTGTGACATCATCTTCTCCTGCCTTTGGGTAGCAGAACTCCAGATCCTCCAGCCTTTGGATTTCACACTGGTTTTCTGGCCTTTGGCCTCAGACTGAGGGCTACACCACTGATTTCCCTGCTCTGGCTTTTTAACCTGGACTGAACCACCCTATCAGCTTTTTAGGTGGCTTATTGTAGGACTTCTCAGCCTCCATTATTATGTGAGCTAGCGTCTCTAGTAAATCTCCTCCCCTCTTTCTCCTTGGAGCACTCTAATACAATGTTTCTTTTGCATAATATATATTTTTTTCTTCTCTGGTCTGACTTTACTTTTCAGACCATTTTAATGTCGTCTGACTACATGACTGCTTTTTTAACACTCTTAAAGTTTTCCAATTCTGTTTTTCATCATTGTTGATTCACAATCACTCATCAGGATATTGAAACTTAGAGTGAAAGAATCAAACAATATTCTGAGGGAGACATCAGCAAGATTGTGGAATAGGAAGCCCCAGCCCTTGTTCCCCAGAGTTAACAATATACAGACTAAAATCCCCTTATGAGAACTTGGGAAACCAGTTAAGAAGCTGTAGTGCCCCAGGTTGAGTGCAAAACAGAGAAGGTCTGCAATGAAATGGGTAAGAATGGTTCCACTTTACCTGTGATTGCTCCTCCTTCAAGTCATCATAGCTCAGCACCCACCTGCAACTTCAAGGGAGAGTGGAATGTGTCTAATATTCTGGTTACTCAGGGGCTGGTTTCTGGCTCCTCTGACTTGGAGTGCTGACAGAATAACATGGGTTCGAAATCTGGTGGCTGACGGAAAGCAAGGAAGAGGGGGTGGCTTTCTGTGGCACCAGAGGACCTGCAGAGCTGCAGAGGTCTGCACAGCTCAGCACAATAACAATTAGGAGAAACTGCCTAACTTGAAGCTTCATTTTAGGAATGGAGGGAGAAAAGTGGAGTATGTATCTATGTAGATCTCCAGAAAGCTGCTTGTTGAGGGATTTGTATCTGTCTTGTATAATGTGGAGTTCTTATGGGGAATGTCATAGTTTGGACCCCTGGAAACTCTGGTTCCCCCTTTGTTCTCAAGGGAGAACAAAGGAGAGTCGGTGACTAGCTACTACAGCAAGAAAACCTGCAGTACTGAACAGAGACACCAGGGAGGACCAGAGTTTTAAACTCCTGAAAAATAAAATTTCAAACCTTTCTATATGAGAAATTACAAGCATAAACCCATAGAAGTTGATATAACAAGGCCCCCAGAACTCCTATTTTCACTGATTGGTTAAGATTTCCTGTCAAAACCAGTTCACAAAGACTGAGAGAGGTGGCTGGTTTTTCTTTCTTTCTTTTATTAATTTAAAATATTTCATTTTGTTTAGTTTGAGATGGGGTCTTAATGTTGTTTGGGCTTGCCTCAAATTCCTGGACTTGAGTAATACTCCTGCCTTAGCCCAGTTTCCTAGGACTATAGGCATGTGCCACCTCACCTGGTTCACTGTTTTTAATGCACAAATCTCAGAGGGGAAAAAAAAAAAAAAAAAAAAAAAAGAAAAAGGTACATGAAGAAACAGAAACATGGCCCAAAGGGCAAACATAAATCCCCAAAGAAATGGCATCTATGAATTACCTAACAAAGAATTCAAAACAATCACCTTAAAGACATTCAGTGATCTATAAGGGAAAATGCACAATTAAATTAGGAAAACAATGCATGAAAAAAACAAGATTATCAACAAAGAGAAACTATAAAAAAGCAACCCTGAAACTGAAGAATATATCACTAAATTGAAAAATTCACTAGGGGAGTTCAACACCAAACTTGAGCAAGTAGAAGATTCAGCAAGCTTGAAGATAATCAATCCTAAGGGACTATGGAACATCATAAAGAGGTCCAATACACAGACACACATCTTCTCCAAGAGAAGAAAGAAATAAGAGAGCTTATTTGAGGAAAGTATGGTCCCAAGCCCCCCAAATTCAGGAGTTAAACATCAGTCTCCTAAACTGGATAGCTGACTATATTTTTAAAGGATTTAAATTTATCCACTACTTAAAGTTATTTTTGTTCAGTGAAGAAATAAACATGAAAAATATTTACCCTGGGTGCAGTGGTATACATTTATAATCCCAATGACTCAGGAGGTAGAGGCAGGAAAATCAAGAGTTCAAGGACAACTCAGTGAGACCCTGTCTCAAAAAATAAAAAGGGCTGGGGATAAAGCTCAGTGGTAGAGTGCTTTCCTAGTATGTGAGAGGCCCTGGATTCAATCTCCAATACTGGGTAGGGGTGGGAAGGGTAGGAGGAGAATCAAACCTGCAGCTCTGTCTTATATGGGCCTGGTCTGAGGAGAAAAGGTTATAAAAAGGGACAATTTCCCCTTAACACTAATAAATTCCTATGACAATATATTAAAAAAATTTTTTTGTAGTTGTAGATGGACATCATGCCTTCATTTTATTTATTTTTTTATGTGGTGCTAAGGATCAAACCCAGTGCCTCACACATGCTAGGCAAGTATTCTGCCACTGAGCTCCTCTATGTTAAGGGAAAATCACATTAACTCTGTCCTATAACCCTAGGAAGTTGCTATTTTAAGTGGTTTTTCAAAATCATGATATAAAAGTAATATTAGATACTCTTTAAAAACATAAAGTATGGACCCTAGAAAAATAAATCCACATACAAAAGTTTGCCTAAAATTTCAGAAGTTTTACAGCTTGTTTGAAACCCATCCATATATGCCTAATATATCTGTGGGAACCTCAGGTTCACACAACTTGAGTACTGTTTTCTCATGCCTAAATTGAAGAGGTAGGATAAATGATCTATGAAGTTCTTCCAGCTGAAGTGCAATGAAGAACAAAATCTAATAATATACTAACCTATTTGGAATACTTGCATGGGGAATGGGATGAGCTGGTTAACAGAAAAGTCAGAAAGAAGTTTTGTAGTTATTAAAGCATAAGAAGATTATGACCACAAGTTAAGAGGAGAGAGCTTCCGCTATCCTTTAAGAATTTAAGAAAATATGTGTATAATTTCATAGCAAAATCCTGAAAGACAGCACGAAGAGAGAAATACTAATTAAACATTTAATGAATGTTCAAGGTATTAGATAAAAAAGTTTATAATTTTTAATAAATGACGTTTTACTTATAAAGTCAAAAGTGAATAAGTTTACATTAATAAAAACATACAATTTATGAGAGGAAATTTCCTTCAATAATTTTATTCTTTGCAATATATATAAATAAATAATACAATTAAACTTTTTAAAAAAGTGTTACCACATGCAAGAAGAAGGTATAGCTGTCATTATTCTAAATTACTGGAATAAATTAATTTGTTGTTCCTTTATTTTCTAATTCTAGTGGCAAAGTGAAAAATAAATTGAAGTTAAGTTGGATTGTGACATCACTGCCATGAATAGACACATATAGTAACAGCATCATTTCCAAACATGGAATGCAAGGCCTCTAGAAAAGTGACAGAGGGGAGCCTATTGAGTTTTGCACTCGGGTGCATCTTTTCCTGAGGTGTACCAAGGTCCTGGCTTAGGATCCACACATTCTGCTCCTATGGTTTGTTCCTCTGACAAAGAAAATAAAAGCCAAAATTAATCCTGTTAGAGAGATATCAGTTATCTGTGGTCTATCATGGTACAAAAATACTAAATAGAAAATTCTAAAAATAAACAATTCAGAACTTTTAAATAGCATGCCACATTGAGTGGTGATGAAATTCATTGTTCCACTCCATCCCACTCTGGTGTATCCATGCTGTATGCATGTGCTACCACACTCCAGTCACCTGGCAGCCATCTCAGTTACCAGATGGACTGTAGCAGTATTGCCGTGTCTGTGTTCAAGTAACCCTTATTTTATTTAACAATGGCCCTCAATTGCTTAAAATCTTTCAAAGACTACTTCCACCTACTCTCAGGGTAAGTAAAAATTCCTTTATGTAATTTATGGAAGTCCTGCACATCTGACTTACCTCTTTCTCTCTTTGGCCTGACTTTATCCACGTGATTGCTAGACTGTTCAGTGGCGACACCACATTTCTCTACCCCTGGTCGTGGTCTCTCTTACACTGGGGCTGTCACTGTTTCATCTGCCTGAAATTTCTTTCCCTCCCCCACTTTGTTAAGCTAATTCACATTAGTCTTTTATATCTCAGTTCCCTTCCTGGAGGAAGACTTCCTCAATATTCCTAAACAACAACAACAACAACAACAAAAGTACCTATTATATGTCTCATAGACTTTTGTATTTCTAAAACTTTACTTAAAAAAAAATATATATAATTTCCCCCTGATTTATGATTGAGTTACATCCTAATAAGTGCATTTTAAGTAGAAATATCTGAAGTAAAAAATGCATTTAATACCTTCATCTATAGAATGTCATAGCTTACTTATCTAACCTACCTTAAATATGCTCAGACCACTGACATTACCCTACAGCTAGACAAAACAATCTAACACAAAGCCTACTGGTGAATATTGAATACCCTGTGTAATTTTTTGGAATACTGTCCAAAACTGAAAATCATAATACTTACATGGGTATGCTTTCACACCACTGCAAAGTCAAAAGATCCTGTGGTTAACATAGTAGGGAAATACTGTACTACCCATACTATGTATACATACTGTAGTAATATATTAGGGAAACATCTGTACTTGATTATTGTCTGTACTTGATTATTGTCTGGTTTATTTATCAATGTATCATCAGAGTAGGGGTTCAAAAGATTTTTCTCATTAAATGAATAAGTACATATCGTAATCTATCATCTGGCTTGTGTAAAATGAATATGTCAATGAAATGATAGGCCCACTGAATTGACTTGAAAGCCTTTTTAGTAGCAGTTTTGTTTATAGGGTAGTTTCTTTATGTCCTTGATTTGTTGCTTGTCTATCTTTGGAGAAAACTGTAGAGGCAGAATAAAGACTTCAGTTGGTATAAGAGTGACTACATGTCATTGTGCTTTGGAGAAAAACTGACTTTCTTACAGAGGGTCAGCAAACAAAGTCTGTGCACTGTAGCTTGCTTAACCTAATTTCTTATCTAAACTTGACATTTGGGGCCAAATATTAAAGACAAGTTCCAAATGTTATCCCCTGGCTTCCAAGTAACCTTTATATTTACTTACCTGGGCAAAGGCCGAGACTTGAGTTATCAAAATAACGAACTGGATGAGGTGCTGGTAAAGACTTGGATCGGTTATCAAAAAACCAAGATTTTGGCGATTCCTTTGGTACAAGATTTTGTACATTTTGTTCCTTGTATTGAGATGGTATATTTTGTATCTTTTTAGAATCTGTTCCAGTCACTTTGGGAGATTTTGGAGAATTCTCACAAGTTACTTCTTTGCAAACCTCTCTTTTAAGGGTTCTTTCCTTCCAAGTTTTGACCTCATTGGAAAGATGCTGGTTATTGCTTAAGTGTAGGTAAGAAAAATACATAAATAAATAAAAAGGAAGATTGCTAGACTGTTCAGTTCTTAAAACGTATCCACATAAAAAAAATCGATAACAAAAAACTGTGGTGAAATATACTTAACATAAAATTTACCATTTTACCACATTAATATTTTAATTTCAACCTAATGCTTTTTGTTTGGACTATTTCCACAGTTCAAAAAGTGAAATGGGTCTATATAAATTGAATAATTTCAGTAACACTTGTCATCATGGAGTTTAAAAATTCCAAGTATAATACTATGTTTTCAAATTAACTGATATCATCTGGATTGATTTGTCTATTGATATTTTGATGTAATAATTTAGTCTTTGATGTGATAAATTAGTCTTTCTGGACAGACAAATCTTGTTTGATGAAGCTTTATTTAAAAAATTACATTTCTTGGGGGAATCCAAGATGGCGAGCCAGAGGGAGCCAGCATTCTGTGTTGCTCTGTGACCCAGGTCTCACCTAGTGGGAATACTGCTTCTCTGAGAGTGATAGGGGACCCCTAAACAGCTGCTCTTGCACAGAAATCACCAGTGCTGTGCCTGCGCAGGGCTCTGGGGCTCAGTGTTGGAGCAGGACTCCAGGCTCCTGTCTCCCCCCACCCAAATACTAGCCCCGAAGCATTAGCCCACACAGAGCTCCCGAGTGTATTAGCAGGATCACTGCATCAGCACAGGTACAGAACTCCCAGATGCTTCTCCACACCAACACAGTACAATCAGTCACTACCCACCCACAGGAACTCCGTTGCCACTCCCTATAGACCCCATCTACCAATGTGACACTCCCCAAGTCGCCTCCATCTTGTGACTGACTCTGCAGCTACTGCCATATTCCCCTATGCGGTAATCTACCTGCACTCAGAGACATCTCACGGGCTCTGAAGACAGCCAAAAGCCCCAAGGCTGCATGCCACAGAGCTCATCTCTGAACACATCACACACTATTGCCAGGCTTCCTCCACCCGACTAGGCCTGCCTCCATCTTGGGATACCTTCATCACTATGTTTGGTGGGGGCAGCTCCCAGATTGGAACTTCCACTGACCAGGTACCCAGTTTCCAACTCTCGCCTCTTCCCAGTGGCCAGTAACCCAGAACAGTAACTACCAAACACGAAACAGCTCTCAGCGGGATGGGTGTGCAGTGCGACCAGGGCACTGCCCAAGAGAGCCCCAGTGGGAGAGGTCCCTAGAAGGAGAAGGTAAGACAGTGTGGAGGCTAATAGAGAGACCAGGAACTGGGAAACCTTCAGGCAAGATAGGGAGATAGGACCAGGTGCCCAAGTCATAGGAGTGGAACCAAAAAGAGACCCTTGAAATGCAGTCTCCCTACAGGGACTGGCGGGTGCCACACCTCACATCCAGGTGCCCTGTCCCAGAACCAGCATTCCCACCCTGGTTACTTTCACCATCATGAGGGTGGAGATACCATCTAACAATAAACCCACCTACTGAAGGGAACGGGAAGCAGGAAAGAGACTCATCTCCAACCAAAACAATTAACAATCCTAGTTTCTTCCTTCGAGATTTAAAAAAATTTTTTTCATTATTATTATTATTATTTTTTTACTTTTTTCTCTTTTTCTTCTCCCCCTCTATCTCCTACCCTCACATCCTCAACATATGTGAAAACAAGTACTTCGTATCAACTAGGATTTTGAGGACTGGAACGTCTGAATAGTATATTATACTGGTGTTGAATATGCCTTTTTTTCTTCTTTTTTTTCCTCCAATTTTTACTATTTTAATATCCTTTATTTTTCATAATACATATGTATTTGTTTTATGTACTCTACTGTCTTCCCACATACTTGTCTACCCCAAACTACTTCCTATCTATTCTCTTGCTACTAATGCTCTTCATTATTTCTCTTCCACACTTCCTAAGATATACTAACTCTATATTCTCACATCCTGCCTCCTCAGCATATCATCCTACACCTCATTCCCAGTTCATTGTACACCGTCAGAAACTGTAAACCCTTTTACAAACCTACTGATTACATTATAGATAATAATCAAATTCAACATTTCTGTACATTGTGACCAAACTGTATAGGTCTTATTGGCAATGAATTGTTTATAGGTGGTATATTGTTTATATTGGGATCTGTTAACATTGTCCTTCCCCACAAAGGAGATATATTGGAACCCTACAGGAACACCATAAGCTTATAGGGTAAAAACAATAACACCCTGGACCCACAGAGCCGAAAAGGAAGATACACAAGCAAAAGGGAGAAAAGTGCCCCAAACAAATCAAGACACCACATTATTAGAATCATTAGCAGCCACAGCAGAAGAAATGACAGAGAAGGAGTTTAGGATGTACATGGTTACAATGGTCTGTGAATTAAAGGATGGTAAAAGAGAGCAAATACAGGCAGCAAAAGATCATTTCCACAAAGAGCTACATAAACAGATACAGGAAGCAAAAGATTACTTCAACAGGGAGATAGAGGTTCTAAAAAAACAAAAACAAAAACAAACAAATCCTTGAAATGAAAGAAACAATAAACCAAATTAAAAGTTCAACAGAAAGCATCACCAACAGAGTAGACCACTTGGAAGACAGGACCTCAGACAACAAAGACAAAATATATAATCTTGAAAGAATGTAGACCACACAGTGAAAATGGTAAGAAACCATGAGCAGAACATTCAAGAAATATGGGATATCATAAAAAGACCAAATTTAAGAGTGGTTGGGATAGAGGAAAGCATAGAATTTCAAACCAAGGAATGAACAATCTATTCAATGAAATAAAATCAGAAAACTGAAGAATGAATTGGAAAACCAAATTCAAGAAGCTTACAGGACACCAAATCACAACAGATCCATACCAAGGCACATTATAATGAAAATGCCCAACTACAGAATAAGGAGAGAATATTAAAAGCCATGAGAGAAAGGAATCAGATTACATATAGGGGAAAACCAATTAGGGTAACTGCAGATTTTTCAACCCAGACTCTGAAAGCTAGAAGATCCTGGAACAATGTATCTCAAGCTCTGAGATAATAGATGCCAACCAAGAATCTTGTATCTAGCAAAATTAAGCTTTAGATTTGATGATGAAATAAAAACCTTCCATGATGAACAAAAGTTAAAAGAATTTACAGTTAGAAAACCAGCCCTACAGAACATCCTTGGTAAAATATTCCATGAAGAGGAAACGAAAAACAATGAGAATCATCAGAGGGAGGTAGTACCCTAAAGGAAAAACCAATCAAAGGAGAAACCAAGTGAAGTTAAATACCAAAAATAAGCAAAAGTGGCTAGAAATACAAATAATGTCTCAATAATAACTCTGGATGTTAATGGCCTAAACTCACCAATCAAAAAATGGATTTAAAAAAAAAAAGACCCAACAATATGCTGCCTCCAGGAGACTCATCTGATAGGAAAAGACATATACAGACTGAAGGTGAAAGGTTGGGAAAAATCATACCACCCACATGGACTGCAGAAACAAGCAGGGGTTTCCATCCTCGTATCAAATAAAGTAGACTTCAAGCTAAAGTTAATCAAAAGGAATAAAGAAGGACATTTCATACTGCTCAAGGTAACCATACACCAAGACATAACAATCATAAATATATATTCCCAAATCAATGTAGTATCTTTGTTCATCAAACAAATTCTTCTCAAGTTCAAGAGTCAAACTGACCACAACACAATAATCTTGGGTGACTTTAACACTTCACCACTGGATAGATATTCCAAACAAAAGCTGAACAAAGAAACTATATAACTCAATAATACAATCAATAACTTAGACTTAACTGACATATATAGATCATTTCACCCTTTAACAAGTGAATACTCTTTTTTTTTCCTCAGCAGCACATGGATCCTTCTGTAAAATGGACCATATACTATGACACAAAGCAACTCTTAGCAAATATAAAAAAGTAGAGATACTACCCTGCATTTTATCAGATCTTAATAAAATCAAATTAGAAATCAATGACCAATAAAAAATAAAAATTACTCCAATACCTGGAGACTAAATAATATGCTACTGAATAAACAATGGGTTGCAGAAGACATCAAGGAGGAGATTAAAAATTCTTAGAGGTAAATGAGAACACAGACACAACATATCGAAATCTCTGGGACACTATGAAGGCAGTACTAAGAGGAAAGTTCATTGCATGAAGCTCATTCCTTAAAAGAAAAGAAAGCCAACAAATAAATGACCTAACATTACATCTCAAAACCCTAAAAAAAGAAGAACAAATCAACACCAAAAGCAGTAGAAGTCAAGAAATAATTAAAATCAGAGCTGAAATCAATGAAATTGAAACAAAAGAAACAATTGAAAAAAATTGACAAAACAAAAAGCTGGTTCTTTGAAAAAATAAATAAAATTGATAGACCTTTAGCTATGCTAATGAAGAGAAGGAGAGAGAAAACTCAAACTACTAATATACGTGATGAAAAAGGTAGTATCACAACAGACACTACAGAAATACAGAAGATAATTAGAAATTATTTTGAAAACTTGTACTCCAATAAAATAGAAAATACCGAAGGCATGGACAAATTTCTTAAGTCATATGATTTGCCCAAATTGAATCAGGATTATATCCACAATTTAAATAGACCAATATCAAGCGATGAAATAGAAGACAGAAGCCTAGTAACCAAGAAAAGCCCAGGACAGGATGGATACACAGCTGAGTTCTACAAGACCTTTAAAGAAGAACTAAAACCAATACTCTTCAATTTATTTCACAAAATAGAAAAAGAGGGAGTACTTCCAAACTCATTCTATGAGGACAATCTCATCCTGATTCCAAAACCAGGCAAAGACACATCAAAAAAGGAAAACTTCAGACCAATATCTCTAACGAACATAGATGCAAAAATTCTCAATAAAATTCTGTCAAACACAAAACATATCAAAAAGATTGTGCACCATGATCAAATGAGATTCATCCCAGGGATGAAAGCTTGGTTCAACATACTGAAATCAATAAATGCAATTCATCACATAAATAGACTTAAAGATAAGAATCATATGACCATCTCAATAGATGCAGAAAAGGCATTCAACAAAATCAGCACCCCTTCAGGTTCAAAAAGCTAGAAAAATGAGGGATACCAAGGACATTTCTCAACATCATAAAGGCTATCTATGCTAAGCCCCAGGTCAACATCATTCTAAGTGGAGAAAAAAGACCCTCTAAAAAGTAGAACAAGACAGGGATGCCCTCTTTCACCACTTCTATTAAACATAGTTCTTAAAACACTGGCCAGAGCAATTACACAGATGAAAGAAATTAAAGGGATACGAATAGGAAAAGAAGAACTCAAATTAGCACTATTTGCTGATGATATGATTCAATACCTAGAAGACCTCAAAAGTTCCACAAGAATACTTTTAGAACTAGTAAATGAATTCAGCAAAGTAACAGGATATAAAATCAACATCCATAAATCAAAGGCATTTCTGTATATCAGTGACAAATCTTCTGAAAGGGAAGTGAGGAAAACTACCCCATTTACAATAGCCTAAAATAAAATAAAGTAAAATAAAATAAAATACTTGGGAATCAACAAAAGAGGTGAAAGACCTACACAATGAAAACTACAGAACCCTAAAAAAAAGAAATCAAAGAAGACCTTAGAAGATGGAAAGATCTACGTTGCTCTTGGATAGGCAGAATTAATATTATCAAAATGACTATACTACCAAAAGCACTATATAGATTTAATGCAATTCCACTCAAAATCACAATGGCATTCCTCTAGAAATAGAAAAAAACAGTCATGAAATTCATCTGGAAAAATAAAGAGACCCAGAATAGCTGAAGCAATCCTTAGCAGAAAGAGTGAAGCAGGCGGCATCACTATACCAGAACTTAAACTATACTATTGAGTGATAGTAACCAAAACGGTGGGTATTGGCACCAAAACAGACTAATAGACCAATGGTACAGAATAGAGGATCCAGAGACTAACCCAGAAAATTAGAATTATCTTATATTAGACAAATGTGCCAAAAACATGCATCAGAGAAAAGATAGCTTCTTCAACAAATGATACTGGGAAAACTGGATATCCATATGCAACAAAATGAAATCAAACCCCTACCTTTCACCATGCACAAAACCCAATTCAAAGTGGATCAAGGACCTAGGAATTAAACCAGAAACCCTGTGTCTAATAGAAGAAAAAGCAGGCCCTAATCTTCATCATGTGGGATTAGGTCCCGACTTCCTTAATAAGACTCCTATAGCGGAAGAATTAAAATCAAGCATCAATAAATGGGATGATTTCAGACTAAAAAAATTCTTCTCAGCAAAAGAAACAATCAGTGAGGTAAATAGAGAGCCTACAACTTGGGAACAAATTTTTACCCCTTACACATCAGAAAGAGCAGTAATCTCCAGGGTATAAAAAGAACACAAAAAACTAAACACCAGAAAACCAAATAACACAATCAATACATGGGCCAAGGACCTGAACAGACACTTCTCCGAAGATGATATACAATCAACAAATATATGAAAAAATGTTCATCATTTCTAACAATTGGAGAAATGCAAATCAAAACTACTCTTAAGATTTCATCTCACTCCAGTCAGAATGGCAGCTATTAAGAATACAAACAACAACAACAAAAAGGTACACTCATACATTTTGTGGGACTGCAAATTGGTGCAGCCATTATGGAAAGCAGTATGGAGATTCCTTGGAAAACTGTGAATGAAACCACCATTTGACCCAGCTATCCTACTCCTTGGTCTATACTCAAAGGACTTAAAAACAACATACTATAGGGACACAGCCATATAAATGTTTATAGCAGCACAATTCACAATAGCTAAACTGTGGAACCAACCTAGATGCCCTTCAGTAGATGAATGGATAAATAAAATGTGGTATATATACACAATAGAATATTACTTAGCAATAAAGGAGAATATAGTCATGGCATTTGCAGGTAAATGAATGCAGTTGGAGAATATAATGCTAAGTGAAGTTAGCCAATCCCAAAAAACCAAATGTCAGATGTTTACTCTGATATACGGAGGCTGATTAATAGTAGGGTTGGGAGGGGGAGCATGGGAAGATTAGAAGAACTCTAGATAGGGAAAAGGGGTTGGAGGGGAAAGGAGAGGGCATGGGGGTAGAAATGAGGGTGTCATGAGATGGATATAATTACCCTAAGAACATGTATGAAGACATGAATGGTGTGAATATACTTTATATACAACCAGAGATATGAAAAATTATGATTTATATGTGCAATACGAATTACAATGCATTCTACTGCCATGTAACAAATTAGAATAAAAAAATTTTTAAAAATTACATTTGTTTCATCTGACCTAATTTCTGTTCATTTTTTAGATCCATTCTTAGAGTTTAAGTTTTTTATCACCAGACTCTCTCTCCAACACCTAGATTTGCTCTTTCATAATGACCTTTTACACTTGTTAGCTTTGTTTATAAAGTAAAAGTAAATAGGCTATGGTAACAGACTTAAAGGGTTCTCTGTTGAGTATAGCTTCATTGACTTGTGGTATATCTCTGCTGTCCCCTCAAAAGTCTTTGTTCACTTTCTTGACTTAGTTAAAAACAGGTTAGTTGATGAATATAAACATCTGGGTTGGTAGTAGTATATTCTTTTTTTAAAGGCACCTACTATATAAACTCTAAAATTTACTTTCCTCATATGAAGGGCTGTCAACTATACAAAATACAATCCCCCCACCCAACCTATGTAACAGCCATAAGCACATTATCTGTATCACACAATCAAATCTTACCTCAGCAGGTCATTCTTTTGCTTTATTAGTTGCTCATTTTGCTGCTTTAATTTAGAAATTTCCTTTTCTAGCCTTATGTATTCACTTTTCAAAATAAGTGCTTTTGTGCTTTGTATGATGCCACTGCCACCACCACAGGTTATGGGCTTATTTGAAGGCTGAGAATCAGTATGTTCTGATATCACTGTGGAAAACAAAAACATAAATAGGTGGTATTTTTTTTTAATATAGTGTAATTTTGATTATCTCCAAGATTTAAAATAAGAAAAACTATAAAAATCCGAACATTTCCACCATTACCGTGGAAGTCATTGTAGACTTGTCCTTTTACCTCACCTACCTATCCAGCCTGTTTGATCACCAGTTCTATTTTTAAATTAAATTATTTTTTTTGGGGGGGGGGCAATACTGGGGATTGAACCTAGGGCCTTGTGCTTGCTATAGGCAAGGCTCTATCACTGAGAGATAGCCCTAGGCCTTTTAATTTACTTATTTTAAGATAGTATTTTACTAAGTTGCTCAGGCTGCTTTGAACTTGAGATCCCCATCTTAGTTTCTCAAATAGCTGGGATTACAGGTGAGCACTAACCACATCTGGCTGATCATCAGTTCTAAATGTCTTTAGAATTTACCTCAACCTCTACCAAATATGGCTAAGATCTTTCATCCTAACTGCAGCAATGGCTACCCTCTCCAGTTAGAGCTGCTCAAAATTAGTGCTCAGCTGGAGGGCTTGTTAATACAGAGAAAGTATGAGGACCGCCTCAGTCATTCAGGGCATTGTAAGTACTCAAGGTAAACTGTTATTAAATATGCCTTAGAATGCTATTAAAGCATGTTAGTCAGTATTTCACACTATATATGTAAAACTGTGTTCAATTGCATAAAATTGTGAGATGTTTATTTAGTAGAATAACCCGTTAGGCCACTGGCATTGACAAAAAAAACGGGCAGGGTATATGGGGAGAAGAAATTCTCAGTGTCCATTTTCTTCAGAATTCATGTACACTTCATGTTGAGCATCCCTAATTTGAAAATATGACTTCTGAAATGCTCCAATATCCAAAACTGTTTGAGTACTGATAAGATACTGCAAGTGGGAAATTCATATTATCCATGTGGGTGGCTAGGAGAGCCTTTGCTTTCTGCACAAAATCATTAAAAATATTATAAAAAGTTATCTTCAGGCTATGTACTAAAGACGTGTATGAAAACATAAATCAATTTATGTTTAGACTTGGGACCTATCCCCATTATATATCATTATGTATATTTTTTTATGCAAATATTTCAAAATCTGAAAAAATCCAAACCCCCAAAGTTTCTGGGTCTAAGCATTTAGGGTAAGGATTACTCTACTTGTATATACCTGAAAGTCACCTACACATCAGGAGGAACTATCCTGACCCTTCTGTAACAAAGAATCTTCACTTTTATTTTCATCCTGTCAAGTTTTCTAGACAGTTGCTGAGAGCATATTGCAATAGACACTCAGGAAGTTTAATCTACATTAAGTATGACTTCAACACACACTGAGTGGATAATAACATTTATTATTATTATATTTTATGATAAAATATTATATTTTGCTTGGCATTTAGAATTTTCAATGTGCTTTCACATACAACTTTTGGTTTGCTCTTCTTAACAATGCATATAAGGTGAGAAAGGTCAGGTGCTGGACCTGTGATTTCATGTGGCCATTAGTGAGGGCAATCAGTCTAGAGAACTTCCCCTGATATTTAGCTCAGTGCATTTTCTATTACATAAAGCTCCCTAAGTACTAGCTAGAATTCTCTCTTCTCAAGTAAAACATGAGACAAAAATGTGAAAAAAAGATAGTTTGAGAAGTGCATATGTAGAAATTTACCATTAAATCTTAAAATGTAGCTGAGATATATTTTAAAAAGTTTTTCAAGTAAATATCACCTTGATATTTTTTACTTTTAAGAGCAAATAGGTTAATATTTACTTATTTTTACTGTGTACCAATCCTCATTTATTAGTTGCATATAGTTTAAAATGTACTAAGGAATGTATTTGGCTTTTATTAGGAAGGGTGGTTCTACCTTGACCATAAAAGTCATTCTTTTATAACAGCAAAGGTATCTTCAGTATAGGTAAAGATCTAATAATGCAAAAGTAAAATTCATATAGTTCAAGAATCTACAATGGATAAACAGTTGACTATAGTAATCTAAAGAGATACTACAAGATACATATTTATTTTAAAAAGAGATTACTGATTAACTTGGGTTACTGAATGTCATATGGATAATAGGCATTTTCAAAGTCTGTGTGTTGAGAAGTAATATTGGAAAGATCTGAAAATATGTGTAGTTTCTACTTACTTGAAGCATCTTGGGCCTGTTGACTTCTTCTCAGATTTTCTCTTAATACTCTTATCACTTCTTTTTGATAGTCTATAGTGGCTTTTGTAGAATCAATTCTAACAAGAACAATAATAAAAATATAGCAACTAATTTTCTATGGAAGAATAAACAAAATCTTTGTCAAAAATTTTGTAATATGATGCATTATATTAGCATAGTACCCATAAGTAGTGGTAGATCATCCTGCATAATCTCTCTTTATATGATGTCTTTTATGGCTATAATGCCAGCAAATTCCAAGTATTTTGTTATAGGAACACTCCAATTTTCTTAATATTGAGAAACCAGTTCTAAAATTTCTGAAAGCTCAATAGCTATTAATTGGCTATTAAGCCAAGTTATATTTGGAGATGCTATAAAACAAACAGTTGGGCTGCTATCATGGAGTCACAGAATGGTCTTGAAGGTACAATTACCAGAGCAAGAAAGAGAAAAGCAGTTTCATTTCTACACTGTCAGGAAAGCTAAAGCTTGATTGCAGGTCTGGTCTAAGGTGAAAGAGTCAAAAGGTCAAATTCTGATCATTTTTTCCCAGTAGAAAGACATTTTATGAATTGTTGGTTTAGATATTAATAGGCAATAATAAATTTTAAGACTTTCTGTCTTTCTCAAAAACTATAAAAGTATTTTGATTCTATAAGTAAAAGCTTTTTTCTTAAAAAATAATTAAGGACCTAATAGTGGAAGGCAGCTAGGCAGCACAAAGACTTACAGAGTGCTAGAATGAGCAGAATTAGAGATTATTAGATATTTATTCAAGATTAGGAAGAATGAAGAATGCTAGGATCCAGAAGACCTCTTAAGACATCCTATAATAACCCTCTCCTTTTATTGATTGTGAATGCAAGGATCTGACAGATTAAAGAGCTTGTTTAAGGTAATGCATTAATAAGTGAGCACTTCTAATTCAGTTTCCCTGACTCTCTGTTTAGTGTTCTTTTCATTATTGTAGACCGAAGCATGCTCTTATAGTGTGTGTGTGTTTGTGTATATTAATAAAAAGAATATGCTCTGGGGTCCTAGGTACCTATAAATGTAAAGAAAATACACTCTTACATATGCACACACACAGACTCACTCAGAGACATGTATAAGTTCTTAATGTTCACTTCTAAGCATGAAAAAGCCATTTTAAGTTGTTTATACCCAATTGAGAAGGAAGCATTCAAAGAAGTGTGTTAATTGATCAGAACTGTGATTAACATAAAAAACTTTATATGACAGTTTAGTGAACTTAAAAATTTGTGGGTTTGTATTTTTTTTTAAAGCACTAACATTTTCATAAGTTTCTTTTTAAAAAGTTAACTAATACAAAGATATTTATGTAGTTTAGAAAGAAAAGCTATTAAAGCCATGTTCAACTAAAGCTATAACATACTCCTTTTCAAATTCCTTGGCAGTTTTCATCTTCTCTAAGTCTATTTTCACCAGCTTTGTTTTGAGATCTTCAATTTCTTCTTTATAGGGTTTGGCTCCTAAAGCGACTTGGTCCTAATAGTTACAGAAAAAAGAAAAGTAAAATAATGATTAGAGTAGTCCTATATCTCTGGTTTTAAAGAAAAGTTAGCTGCCTTTACTCTAGTAGACATATTTTAAAATAGCAAACTCCTTCAAGTATAAGAAAAACAAGAAAGGCATTAATTCTAGTTGAATAGTAACTAAACATTTGATGTAAGGTATATTTGAAGCTAATATATATAGACATATGATTTTTATGTCTTAAAACAAGTACTTTTTTGCAATGAAAAAAGTGATCTATGTACAAAATGAAACAGAAAGATTGAAAATAATGAAATGTGTGGACAAAGATGAAGCAGGAAAAGGAAACAAAAGATGCTGGAGCAGAAATGTAAACATTAAGTGGAACTCAAATTCAAGCAACAACACATTATTGGGAATATTTTTATACAGAAAGATAGCTCAATCAGTGATACAAATATATCATATATCTGCTTTCCATTCAGAGAACATATACATACTCATGTGCATTAGTAAATCTTAAAAAAGAAATTGAATAGACTATTTTACACAGAAAAGTTGAATGGAAAACATCGAGAGTTCCCATGTATACAGTGTCCCATACCTTCTTTCCTATTATTACATTCATGCATTATTAGTATGGTACATTTGTTACAACCAATGAACTGATACCAATATGTTATTAATTAATTAAAGTCTGTATTTACTTTAGAATTTCTTAGATTTCCTATGCTCTACCTGTACATCCTGGTATGCCTCCCCACCAACTCTAATGTCACATATTTGAAATTGTATACTAGGCAGCCTTTTCAGATTGGATACTTTCACTTAGCAATATGCATGTCTCCCATGTCTTTTCATGACTGCATAGCTTCATAGCTCATTTCTTTTATCTGATAAATGATATTCCTTTGTATCAACATACTTATGATGTATTTATCCATTCACCTCTTAAAAGAGGTCTTAATTGTTTCTAAGTTTGGGCAATGATGATACAGCTACTATAAATGCACATGCATAGCTTTTTGTGCAATGAGTAAATATCAAGGAGGACAACTGCTTGATCATATTGAGGCTGGGGGGCAAAAGGACAGCCGATGTAGGTAATGAAAGGCTGGGTCAGGAAGATGGGGGCTGATTCAAGAGGAAATAAAATGCTAATATCTTCAGGATACTTCCCCTCCTCCATCCTGTTGCCAAGGTTACCTGCTTCCATGGAATTGTTCCTCCCTGCAAGGAGGTGTTAATTAGTAGCCCCTGGGTGACTCTCTTCCTTCCTTTCTGGGCAGCTCCTCTCCTGGTTTTTGGTCATTGGCCACAGGCAGGATGAGAGCAGGAGGGGGCATGAGAACAAAGGAAATCTAAAATCTATAAAAGGGACAAGGACACCCCCACTCCCTTAGGCACCTACTTGGGTCCCCTCTTTTGCGGAGGAACCCCTGTCCCTTTCTCTGTTCTATCCTTTAAATAAAGCTTTTTGCTCTTGTCTTGGAGTTTCTCAGATGTTTAATCTTCAACACTGAGGGAACAGGACTAGAACCTGATTCTCAACACTGATATCAATACTGTAAGAAAACATTTAATTTACTAAGAAACTGCCAAACTGTATTTCAAAGACACTGATATCAATACTGTAAGAAAACATTTAATTTACTAAGAAACTGCCAAACTGTATTTCAAAGTGGCTAGATCACTTCACATTCCCACAATGAGTGAGAGCTCCTGTGCTCTACATCCTTGCCGGGATTTGGTGTTTGTCAATGTTTTGGATTTTGGCCATTCTAAAAAGAGTGTAGTGGTACCTAATTAATTAAAATCACCATTCCCTAAAGTCTATTTTTCAAAGAGAAGTCTTTAAAGAAATTAAGTCAGAACGTAACACTGTTTTTGACAAAATTTTCCAATGGCCCTCAAGACCCTTTATGATCTGTTTCACTGCAGCTTCTTGCCTTATTTTCCACCCGTCTTCACTCTACTCTGAATATAGTGACTTTCTTGTTTCTCAAACCTGTCTAGAATATTTGTTTCTGGGTCTGTGCATTTGCTATTTCCTTTGCCTGGAAGACTCTTTTCTAGTCACAGTTTGCCCCAGCACTTCCTTTAGATCATCTTACTGTTGACTTTTCTTAACTCTCTCTCTATAAAAATCATCTCTTTGCTTGCACATGCCCACCTTTACCCAGAACCCACATACTCCTTGTCTGACTCATTTTTTTTCTATTATACTTTTTAATCATATATTTATATATTTCTTCCCATTTATAAAAGCAAAATGTATTTGTTGTAACAAACAATCCAGGGATTTAAAAATTTTTTTTTCTCCCTCCTGTCCACTGTGAGCAAAGCATATAGCCTTCTGTCTTTGGGTACACCACACCAACAAACAGTTCACAGACCTTTTTCCTACTTGTTACCTATTACTCATAAGACTGCTCTCTGCATGCAGTGGTGGGCTTTACCTACTTCTCAGGCCAACAGTCTAACTCACTGTTTCCCTCCACTTACCTAATGTATTCTAGTATGAGAGTATATTATAATCTAACGTTTTCTCTGTTGGCAAACATTCAAGTTGTTCCCTTTTATTTTGTGGTACCAGGGATTGAACCCATGGTACCACAATGGTACCACTAAGCCACATCAGTCCATTTTTATATCATATATTTACATTTTAAAATCAATTAATTTTCTGTCTCCCCATACCAGAAAGCAAGTTCTCTGACTTATATTCTGGACTCCTCTGTTGCCACATAGTTGGTGCTCAGCAAATACTTAATTGAATGAATAAAATGTGATTGTTTAATTTGTAATATTAAAAATTTACTCTCAAACTTTTATCTCTAGTTTATCTGCTCATGTCTCAATGAATGGATCAGACTTTTTAGAAGAATGGTAACCATGAAAAGAGAAGGCATTTTTGACTTGTTCTTAATTTTAGTGGGGCTGAAGAGACACTGAAGCAGAAACACACTTCTATGCTATCAGTTTCAGACTTGAGGAAAAGAATTATGAAAAGTGGTTGGAGCAAAACAAAAGGGAGTGATAAGGAAATGATGAATAGGGGTGTGACTTCAAGGATACTGAAGTTCAAAAACATTTAAACTACCATTCTTTCCAAAGAAAATTGGCCTGATTTAGCCCACAGGACACCAGGTGGTTCTCAGTAATAAGAACAGCAAGTAGAAAAAAATGAAAACATACTTAATCTACTGGTCTTTATACATTTATTATGGTGTTATATATTTAGATAAGAAGCACACCACTTTTGAAAAATAAAAAATGTACATTTTCAAGTATAAAGAATGTTGACGTATCTTTAAAAATTGCTTTTCTAGCATGACAAAAATAACCAATATTTTACATGAAAATATACTCCTATTCCTAAAAACACTTGGAATGGAACCATTGTATACCCAAGGGATTTAAAAATGCATATTACAATGATGTGGCCAAATCAATGTTTACAGAAGCTCAATTCACAATAACTAAACTGTGGTACCAACCTAGGTGCCCTTCAACAGACAATAGATAAAGAAAATGTGGCATATACACACAATGGAACATTACTCAGTCATAAGAAAGAATGAAATTATTCTGACATTTGCTGGTAAATGGATGGAACTGGAGACTGTCATGTTAAGTGAAATAAGCCAATCCCAAAAAACTAAAGGCCAAATGTTCTCTCAGATATGCAGATGCTGGGCTGAGGATGTGGCTCAAGCGGTAGCGCGCTCGCCTGGCATGCATGCGGCCCAGGTTTGATCCTTAGCACCACATACAAACAAAGATGTTGTGTCCGCCGAAAACTAAAAAATAAATATTAAAAATTTCTCTCTCTCTCTTTAAAAAAAAAAAAAAGATACGCAGATGCTAACACAATAAGCGGAGGAGGAAAGAATAGAAGTTTGTTGGATCAGACAAAGGGGAATGAAGGGAAGGGAGGGGAGATGGGAATAGGAAAGACAGTGGAATGAATTAGACATAAGTTTCCTATGTTCATATAGGAATAAATGGCCAGTGTAACTCCACACCATGTGCAACCACAAGAACGGGATCCTAATTAGAATAAATTATACTCCATGTATGTACAATATGTCAAAATACACTCTACTGTCATGTATATTTAAAAAGAACAACAATAAAAAGATACTCTTGCATTTCATTTCTAAGTTGTTCCTTCTTTTAAAGATTGAATAATGAACTTCAGACATATATATGTCATAGGAAGTTGTGGTGAGACTGGGAGAACAGAGCATCAAATTATTTGTCAAATTTAACAGTTAAAGTAAAATGATAGCATTTACTAATAAAATGAGGTTAAGTTACCTGAAGTGCTTGCATCATTTCTTTTGTTTTTTCAAGACATTTATTTGATTCATTAATTTTGGCTTGAAGTTTTGCTATAATGTTATTGGTCATTTCAAGTTCTTTCTGCATCTTTATTATCTTGCTTTCCTTATGTACAGCACTTTCTTTAGCTTCACGCAAGGAATTTTCCAGTTCCTGAATTCTCTGTTAGAGAAAGCATATATTCATTAGGTTTTTTTTTTTTTTTTTGGTACCAGGGATTGAACCCAAGGGTGCTTAACCACAGAGCCACATCCCCAGTCCTTTTTATTGAGACAGGGTCTTGCTGAGTTGCTTAGGGCCTTGCTAAATTGCTGAGGCTGGCTCTGAATTTGCGATCCTACTGCCTTAGCCTCCTAAACTGCTGGGATTACAGGTGTTCGCCACTGTGCCTGACTCATAAGGTCTATTTTAAAGACAGAGATGCACAACGTAAATTTGAGACAAAAGATTATATTTATGTATTGATAATTTTTCATGAACTGCATTCATAAAGGATAGAAGAGAGGCCAAATACCACTCAATCTATAGACATGTATTGCTTTCATTTGGAAGTAACTGATTTTTGGATTTAAAAATGACAAAAATTTAAATCATATAATCTGTCAACAAATTCTTAAACCATGAATGTGAAAACAGCACAGTGTTGATGTTATTTACTGGTTAGTTGAGTGCTAAGCACATTAAAGAAGCACTCAATTTAAATTAACACTATCAGAAATATATTTGTTAACTGACTTTCTAAGTAATGTACATAATACCTTTTCCTTTACTTTTGTTAATTAGTTTTGAAATTGAAAAAGGTAAACACGGGGAAAATTCAAAGGTACATGATGAAAAGGTAGTTTCCACCTCAGATCCCAGTTGATCCTGAGGCAATGACTGCTAAATTTTTCAAGTGTACTTTCCCAGGAATTTTCTCTAAGCATCTAAGCATATATGAATAGTTTATAAAAATAGTTACTCATACACTATATACTAAACATAAAGTTCTGTTTTTAATCCAGTATATTTTTGATCTTTCTATTATCAATATATATAAATGTCTTCCATTTTTGTTTTTATGGATACATAGCATCCGATTTCATGGAAATATCATAAATTATTTATTCGGTCACCACAAATGAAGATTGAGGTTATTTCCAGTTTTTCACAAGTATAAATTATCTTAGGATAAACTTAAATACCTGAATTTTTTTTCACGTTTATCAGATTATTCACATGTACACACATTTTTTTACTGTCTGTGAAATGTCTGTTGCTTTATGGTCCACCTAGAATTTATTTTTTGTTTAGTGAGTCTTATTTCTTTTCCAGATGACTAGTTTGTTGTTTCAAATTATAAGTAAACAATTTTTCCCTGTAGAGTTGAACATTACCATAATTGTGTGTGTGTGTGTGTGTGTGTGTATATGTGTATATATATAATTCTTAAGGCTTAATGGGGTGGGCTTCTGAACTCAGTTCTGTTCCACCTCTATACTTGTATATTCCTGCATAACTGTCTAATTATAATAGCATATGTTTTCTTATCTATTAGAGTGTTTTCTTGGGTCACCAAAGACAGAATTTCTTTCTGCTTCTTTAAATTATTGCTTTGGTAAATGGGTTTCATCTTTGCTCTATTCTATGGCTATCAGATGACAATTCTCTTAAGATCACCAAATCAAAAAACTGCAAACTAGTGATCTTCTAGTTTCCACTGGTAATTAATTATTAAAGTAGTGGCTGACATTTCATTACAAGTATATATACTGGTAAAAATGATAAATTGTAATTTACTCGTAGAATCCCCACTAAATCATTTGTGTGTTAATAAAATAAGGTAGCATGTTTTCTGATGTTTAACAACTCCTAAGGTTAAGTAATAATGTAACAGATTATTCAAATAATCTACTGACTCTTAGACACAAGTTGATATGTATAATTATTCTGTTATAATTTTAGCCTCTTCCCTTTTTATTGTGACTGAAATATTAACCAATATTAAAAGAAATGATAATTAGAAAAAAGCTAAATTGTTATTTTTCTCTAAGCTTATATTGGTTTTGCATATAGACAGATTATAGTTTAGTATAAAGTCAGATGATTTAGGAAGTTTATAATATATAGTAATAAAAATTTAAATGGTAATCACTTAAATTATAGTATATGAATTTAGTATTCAAATTAAGCTTTGATTTACCTCTGTTTTATAATACAAAGGGTAAATCTTTATAATTTCTAGACTTAAAATTATTTAGCTGAGTGATATCCAGAACTATATATAAATATCTAGCTTATCACACACACAAAATATTGTGTTCATATTCCTTAATAAATGTAGTCAATACTATGATTTTGCTCTGGACTCCAGGATGAAGCTAAAAATTAAAGAATATCTTATAAGAAATTGCATACCTCTGTTGGTTGTACGGCTCTTGATGTAACATGAGGATTTTTATTGTCTTGTACAATAGAATTAGCCTGGGCACCAGATGTTAGGGAGACTGTCAAAGTTTGGTAGTCTTCAAACAGTTTTTTATTTTTCTCTCTTATTGATTTCAGGTCACGTTCCCATTCTTTTGATCGGGTTACACTTCTTTCCTCGAACTCTGTTGATTCATTTATTATACCCTATTGAACAGTAAAACATTACAGCTCTAAAATGATTTATATATTCAAGCACTAGAATTCTAGTACAATGCATATGCTGAAATTCATTATTTAGAACGCCCAACACCCTAGAACAATGCTTTTAAAGAATGAACATTCTTTGTGATTTGCACATATTTTTTGAAATTATAGATATTGGATGTTGATTATGAGAGTAAGATAATCCCAGCTTTATTGGATCTGTACTAGCACATGAAGAGAAGCTACAATATTAATCTAGTTTTTTTTTGCTCTAATTTCACACATACAAGAAGTCTTTTGATACTATATATCTTACCAATTATGCAGATTAAAATCATTATATATGCTATGGTTGATGATGAGCTATTAAGTGCCATCTAACAGCAGAACACTCCTAATAAACTTAACAGTTATCTATTTTCCTGCTTCATTTTAAACTTCAGTATTTTTAGGGAAAATAACTGCCGTTGGTAATTAGTATGGATATCTTTCATTTCTGTGCAGAGAATAACATGTCATCAATACTCTTTTTTACAATGAAGGCTAATTCTAAAATTAATCATATAATAAACACTTCCTAATTCCTATGGGATATACTTTTTGCTCTTATCAAGAATGTCTTATTGGTCTCCTCTATAACTTCTTTGTGGTTTTATGGTCATTCTGCCAGGACGGGATCTTAAGTTAGTTGTGTTCTTTCTGATATCCTGGACTCTTTTTGGCTCTGGTTTACTGACTTTGCATCTTACAAAGTTATTGACTCCTACGCTTAGGGTGCTAGAAGAAGCCATATTCATGCTGACACAGCAGCAACCCCTACTTTCTAAGCTACTTACATCTGATACCTCAATATTATAAGAAAAGCTTTGAATTATAGGGAGATTATTTTGTTTTATGCCTTTCTCCATTGATTGTGATCAAGTTTGTTTGAAATAGCCTATTACTGTTTTGTTCGTTCTGGTTATTCTACAAATAGGAGGAACTACCCGTGGAAAACATTTTTTCATCCCTTCTTTCAATGTGATTTAAATATAGTCTCCAGATGAAATTAAAGTATCAAAAAAGAACTATTCAAACATATGAAACACAAAACCAATCTTGGAAGCTACCATTTTAATCTATTCTTTTTGCTCTAATTTCACACATACAAGAAGTCTTTTGATACTATATATCTTACCAATTATGTAAGGAAGAGATTATACCAATGAGCACTATGAATATAATAATCACTGAAAAGTAAAAACAAATTAACAACCTGTTGTTGGTTCTTATGAATCAGTACATTGGGACTGATCATGAAGGGAACAAGGATAAAAATCTCGATTTTGCAGATTCTGGTCCAGCACGTAAAGAATTCAGAAGTTACCAGTCCATCATAACAAACAGAAAGCAGAACTGAAAAATTAAAACTCTGACTAGATCTATCAATGCGGTTAGGTCACAGAAATAGACCTATAGTCAACTCATTTTTGACAAAAGAGCAAAAGCCATAAATAGAGCAAATATGGTCTTTTCAATAAATGGTGCTGGACCAAAGGGACATCCACAAGCAAGAAAGTGAATCTAGACACAGACCTTACAAGCTTTATAAAAAGTAACTCACAATGGAACACAGAATTAAATATAAAGTATGAAACTTTAAAATCCCAGAAGATAACATGGGAGAAACCTTGATAACCTTGAGCTTGGTGATAACCTTTTAGAAACAACTTCAAAGTCATGATCTCTGAAAGAAATAACAAGCTAACTCTTTAACATTAAAAACTCCCAGTAATTTCTGCTTAATTTTGTTATAAAATTAAAACCAGCCTAAAAAAATAAAGTTTATTAATACAAAAAATAGACACATTTTTCATCCTCAAAGTTCAGGATCAGCATGTATAATTCTGAGACCAACAGGAGTAAAGTTCATGAAGTCCCGAGGCCCTGCTGAAGCAGCTAGCCAACTAGTCTATGGCTTTACCACAACAGCTGCCTGCAGCCCTGAAACTGACTCAGGCCTCACCTTGGCTGAAGCTACTTGGAGAAAGGTTCAATTCCTACTGAAAGTGAGAAAGAAAAGCTGTGGAGTCCAAATTTCATGAGTGAAAACTGAACATTATACACAAGGTTGGGTTACCTTTATAAGTATAAATTGACATTTAATTATCTTAAGAAGCATAATATGTTAGAGGAAGAACACATTTTACAAAATCAACTTTTTTCATAATGTATGCAAATAAATTAAAGAAAACATACTTAAAATTAATTTACTCTAAGCCCTCTGAGAAATGAGTTAGAAAAAGTAAACAGAATGAGGTAGCATAATAAAAATTAATACTTACAGTTATTTTATTATGGTAGAAGTAATTCACTTGACAAATGCTATCATTTTCTTTCTGGATGCTATTTTTAAGTTCTTCTATATTAAAAGGAGTATTTAACCACTCTTCCAAAACCTGAGTCATTTTTTTCCTGTTACTAAATACTTGTAATTCAGTCTTTATGCTGGGGAAGTCATTTTCTGAGAAATCTTTGAGAATTTCCTGTGTGAGAAATATGCACTTTAGCACCTGAACATTAGGAAAATTTTATCCAAATATCATATGAAATATAAAAATATTATAAAAAGGGGAAAACATGGATTCTTCTTAATATTTTAAAGTAATCTAAGGCTGGGTGTTGTGGTGCACACCTGTAGTCCCAGCAACTTGGGAGGCTCAAAGCCAGCTTCAGCAATTTAGCTAGATCCTCAGCAACTTAGTGAGATCCTATCTCAAAATAAAAAAATAAAGAGAGCTGGGAATGTGGATGAGTGGTTAAGTGCCTCTGGGCTCCATCCCAGGTACCAAAAGAAAAAGATAGAAAGGAACAACAACAACAAAAAAGTAATCTAAGAAATATAATTCTGGGCTGGGGATGTGGCTCAAGCGGTAGCGCACTCGCCTGGCATGCCTGCGACCTGGGTTCGATCCTCAGCACCACATACAAACAAAGATGTTGTGTCTGTCGAAAATTAAAAAATTTAAAAAAAAAAAAAAAAAAAGAAAAAGAAATATAATTCTAACCAAAAACTTTATTCTAGTCATTTGCATAATAAAATTTTGGTAGTATATGTGATATGGTAGTGGCATAACTACAATTCTACCTGTTAAGAATTAAAATCTGTCAGAATGATCAATCTGGGACAAATTATCACATAAAATGCTCTTCAGTGCATACAGCAGGACTTACATATGTGTTGGGATGCCAGCCTCTCATTGCTGGGGAGGGCAAGATACTACACATGGAGTTGTGGCAATAAAAGGGTTTCTGATTCCCCAGTAACAGATGTAAGAAGTTTTAGAAGGTATTTGTAAACTTATTCTAGGATTCCATGGATTCCCATTTACTAAAGTTAAATCTGTTTTTCTGTGCCTATGAAGGTCTGAAAGGAGGCTAGTCCATTATTTGGCAGTCTTTATGTTTGGCTAGTTATTATTCTTCAACCTATTTTTAATTTCTGGTAAATAAAAGTTTTAAGCACATGCAAAAGTACTTTTCTACATGATAATAAGGCTAATTAAATCTATTTAAAATAAATTATACCTCAATATGTAGATCCAAACTCTGGTTCAGTTTGGAGTGCCTTAATTCTTTGGATGGTATGTCATAATCCTGTTGAAGGTGTTGTATTTTAATTTGGAGTTCATTTTGCTTTTCCACTTCATCAATAAAAGCTATTTCAAATTTATTGATGGATTCATGTTGTTCTTCTTTCATCTTTGTAATATAGCTTAACACATACTTGTAGAAAAAAATGAAATAAATCAGAAAATGAATTTTTTTCATGTTTAGAGTAAGTTTCAAACCTTTGAGACTGAGGTGAGAAGGTGTACCTTGTTTATTTATATTCTCTGATAAGTAAATAAGGGAGCAGCCATCTTCTATCTCCAAATTTCTCTTTTTAGAATCATGGGAGAGTAACTTCCAGACCTCTACTTCCATATTTTTGACCTCCTACTTAGGGTGTCTTATAAATACCTCAAATTAAATATTTAGAATGTTACATGGTCTCTTTATGTATATATCCTTTTTCTGTTGCCCCTTTTTTGGTTAGTTAAATTGCCAATCACCAAGGATTCCCAGTTAACATCTAAGTAAATCCTCTTCTGCCCACCTTGCTTGGATAACCAATAAAAAGGTCTTTTAAGCCTCAAGATTTCCTTGTTGAGAATCATTAGACATTTAAGCTTCAATACCATATATTCATGGGTCATACAAATAAGTTCTAGATATCTGTTTGTCAAGATTTGTGGAAGGATTTTCAGGAAGTAAAGGGGCAGACATCTAACTAGGCAGGAAAGATACCTACTTGTTAATTCCTTAACCTCTCATAATCTGGTGTCTTCCCTAACCGCTTGACTAAAATTACTCTGGCAATGTTCACCAAGAAATCTATTATCATTGAATTGAGGGGACACCTTTGTTTCATAAGTATCTGCCACTCTTGGCCACTTTATCTTTGAGGAGCTCCACTCCACTGACTTGAGGGACAGCACTTTTGTTTGCTTCTCTCCTGAATTTTTGATTTTTTCATACCTGAACATACATGTTACACCCTTTTATTACTGTCTCTTTTGGACATTTATCTTTTTCTGGGTTCTCGTCTTCTTCCAAAGCTTTTATTCTTCTGAGAAGAGACTGAAGAAGCATTTAGCAGCTTGAAATGGTATGTCCAGGTGATTTTTTAATGCTCTCTAGATGACCTTTCTGTACTTCTTGTCACCTATATGCTGATGAGTCCCAAATCTCCTGACTTTTATCCTGCCAAACCTCAGACTCACAGTTAAATGCCTACATGGTTTCTCTTCTTGGATGTCTCATAGGTATTCTAACCTTGAAACATCTAAACTAAACACCTGATCTCTCCAGCATCACATACCTGATTCTCTTCCTTTTCTCAGTTAATCCTATCTTACACACATGGATAATCACAAATCTTGGAACTCCATCCAAACTTCTCTCCCTATTTCCATTATAAATCACCTGGACATACCATTTCAAGCTGCTAAATGCTTCTTCAATCTCTTCTCAGTCCCTATTTAACTTTCCCTAGTAGTATAGTAACACATATTATCTCATCTGGACCATTGTAATTGCCCCTTATTTCTCTCTTCTTCTAAGCTTATCCCCCTCAAATTCATGTCTTTTTTATTCTGCAATGAAGTACCTAAATGTTAATCTCATCTGTTACTACTGCTACTTTAACTGTCTTTTGGCTGTCTGTCTTCTACAAAACAAACTCCAAACTTTATTGCTTGAATTTGGCTTCCACTATAGTCTAATCTTCTGAAAATTCTTACATGTGGCATGTCATACAACCTGTATATGCCTCTATCACTGCACTCATTACCTTTTTATATGTCTGCCTTACCAGATTAAGAGATCTTTGATATGACTCATCTGTCTTCTGAGTACCTCGATAGTATCTAGGCACATAGGCAAAGCTCATTTTTTTTCCTCAAAGCTCAGTTTTTATTGAATGAGTAGATACTAGAAACACTAAAAATCCTAAACTTACTGTTCTCAGACCTATACAATATTTAAATTTAATAAGTATCCTAAATAGCAAATATGCCAACTCCTAAAACAGTACTTAAGTACATTAAAATTTGTAACTGAAATTTAGAGTAGTATTAATAAGATACTGGTACCTTTAGTTTCTTTATGACTCTATGGAATTCCATGGAACATCTCTGGTTTGCAGCAAAAAGTTTTTGAATCTGTTTTGTTTGTGGGTATGGAAGTGAGAGGTTTGCTTTTACTCTAATTGAAAGATCTTTTTGGGTTTCAATTTCCTTCTCTAAGTCAAAAGACAATTTATTCAAGTACTCATAATGATTATCCATCTCTGAGTATCTCTGCAGCAGCTCCTGAAATTAAAATTCATTTGATTTAACAACAAATAGTTCCACTGGTAAAGCTGTAAGAATACTTATATTTTAACACTTTCTACAAGAAAGAAATAAATCAAGACATTTAAACAAACGGAAACATTATTGATTTGGGATTATAGAAATAATATATGATTATAGTGAAAATTTTTTAGAAGTTGGCCAATATAACAAACCCAGAAATAACCATTGTTTTAATTTTGATGCATTCTCATTTAGTCTTTTGAATATTCATGATTTGAACGAGTACTGGGAAAGTCTGAAGAGAAATTTGAATGAACTCAAACCCCATCAATTCTGACCTTACTTCTCACTAGCTTTCCTCATTCTTGGTGCTCCTCGAACCCACCAGACAGGCTGGCTGCCTCAGGAGCTTTGTTCATTATTCCCTCCGTCTACATCGTCCTTGTCTCAAACACCTGCACAATTTAATCCTTGGCCTCTTTCACGTATACACTCGAGGCCTTAAAAAACCACAAACTCCGATTGTTTTGTTTATATATGTACATAGGTGGGTATACACATGCATACCTATACTAGGTTATAATGTTTAGAAAAGGACCAGGCATTACCTACTCATCCCACACAAGTCTCTAAATTCCATCTTAGGCTTCAGGAAGCCTTTGGAAGAGTACCGACATGCATGTGTAGGGAACACTTACTTTTATCCTGAAGCACTTTTCTCTCAGGTTTTCTGTATGGTGCTCTTCTCCATCACATAGTGAACTTCTTTCATATTTTATGACCTCTTTGTGATTCTGATGATCCTTGTACAAAGAAACAATCAGACATAACTATTCACATATAATGTATAATCATATACTTTATTAAATTTCTATATTAAGTTTTAATAATGGAATTAAACATTATACTTGTAACTCAAAAAACAATGTTAAATATCCATCAAATGAATGGTACTAAATCTTTAGTGAGTGACCTGAACTCATTAGGAAAAAAAAGTGGGAGAACCATATATTATTTGGAGATGGGATTTGTTATTCATAGTTGAAAATGAGGCTTTAGAATTTCTTTTGGTTCCTTAAACTGAATCTCTGTATTTAAAATTATTGCTGCCAACTAAACATACTAGCAAAACCACTGTCCACCTTGTGTCGCAAACCCTATTCACATATTCTTTCTCGTAACTGGGAACTGAAAATTCAGATCTTGTTTACATTCCACATTTCTCATTAAAAAGTACAAAACAAAAAATTATTTTTTGCCTACTTGTTTATTGTTATCATTACAGTACCCAGAAGCATGAGTATCTGTTGAATAAGTATTTGTCTAAAGAATTAAAATTATATAAATTTAGTTATGGCTCATATACAGACGATTCCTAAGCATCTGATATTTCTGCTGAGATTGCAAATGATATTTTTTCTACTTTATTTTGTAGAGCATTCAGTTGGGCTTTTAATTATATAATATATATGAATATCTACAAATAATCATACTAGAAAAACTTTGTAATATTCATCTTCTCTTTTTTCCTTCTAACCAGCAGTTATGGACCATTTCTAGATCCCTATTAAGAGGTAGAGAAGTGGAATATTTAATCTTTTACAAATCTAACCCTTCAAATATTTTTTCTATTTAGAATAATACTATTTTTTATTAAACAAAACTTTAGAAATTATATTACTAAGAATATTTTGCTTTAACAAACTTTTTCTTAAAAATCAAAAGTGATGTTTTCTGAAAAACAATTTGGCCTCTTTTAAAAATGTGTTTCCTACTGATATGAAAATTATAGTAAGTTTTTCCACTATCTTTAGTATTCAAAGAAAATTCTAAGAAAAGGCCAGGCACCGTGGCACACGCCTATAATCCCAGCAGCTGGGAAGGCTGAGGCAAGAGGATTGTGAGTTCAAAGCCAGCCTCAGCACCTCAGTGAGGCACTGAACAACTCCATGAGACCCTGTCTCAAAATACAAAATAGGGCTGGGGATGTGGCTCAGTGGTCTAGTGCCTCTAAGTTCAATCCCCAGTATCAAAATTAAGAAAATTCTAAGGAAAAAACACCCATATTGGCACCCCTTTATAAAGCTTGATTCTTACAGTTACTAGAACTCACTCTAGCTATCATTTTTCTTATGATTTCTCTGAACTGGTCTTTTTCCATTTTGAGACACTCCTTTTTCCTCCTTAGCTCATTGCTTTCCTTAGCTACAGTTCTTATTTCTTCAAGATTTTCATGAAGTTTCTTAGTAGAGCACAAGTTATCCATATCCACAGTTTTCACAGATACATTTTGGGCCTCAATTTGCCTCTTCAAATGTTCCATTTCATTCATTTTTTTATCACTTTTATTGACATCTTTATTCATTTTAAGAAGTTGAAGCTCTTTTTCCTGAAGTTCTTGGATCTTGAGATAATTACAAAATAAGTTAGAATGCAAACAGAATTCCTTCATGGAAGGAAAATAGCATCTACTTGTTATATTTGTACATTTATACAAGTTAAGTATCCCTCATCTGAAGTGTTTCTGATTTTGAAATATTTACATAGTTGCTACCAGTTGAGAATCCCTAATTTGAAAATTCAAAATCTGAAAACTTTGAGGCTTACCTCAGTGCTCAAAGTATAGATTTCAGAGCATTCTGGATTTCAGATTTTTGGATTAGGCATGCTCAATATATCTATATATTTTCTCATTTCTCAAGTAATTTTGGATACAGTTACTTCCAAAAAAACCCCACAAAAACATACCTTTTTCTGTAATTCATCTTTTGATTTATCTAAATCTTTTTGAATATTTATAATTTGAGTTGTCTTTCCTGAAACTTTCTCTCTGAATTTCTCAATAGTTTGTTGTTGTTCTTTCAAATGCATATGAATAAGTTTTAGTTCCTGTTGTGTCTCCAGATCCTATATTAGAAAAAAGAGAAATGTGATGACATAAAGAAACGTTATCTTTTCTTAATCATTAAATGAAATTTGAAAAAATGCATACTTAGTTAAAAACAACCAATCTGCCATCCCCCAAATTCGAAGTATACAGAAAGATTTAAGGTACAAATTCCTGTCTCTAACCTCCCTCACCTTAGTCCTGTTCCTTGCTGACCTGTACCACTTGCTTTCCTCCTTTCCTATTATCCAAACAGTATAACATACTTTCTAATCAGTATCACACAAAAGGTGCTCTTTCCTAGGCTTAGTATTTCATTATACAGACGAACCCCTCGGCCAGTGCCTTATGGGTGAACACTTGAATTGCCTTTAGATTTTGATCATCCCAAACCATGCTGCAGTGAATGCTGTTATATTTTTATTCCAATGTGTGAATATGTTGGTATGATAAATCTATATAAGTGGAATTACTATATCAATGTTTATAATGATAAATTTTCAAAAAGTTAAAAGATTATAACCTTCTCACCAACAGTATCATCTATTTTCAAAGAAGGGAGGTTCTGCCTTAAGAATATGCTTACTGGACATGAAGAATGTGCACAACTCACTTTAGCAATAGTATCCTGCAGGTTTTCCTTGAGTTGGTCTCTCTCCAGCTTGAGCATCTCCTCTGATCTTCTTATCTTATCTCTCTCTTTCATTACAGATTTCATTTCTTCGAAGTTATCTTGAAGATTCTGAGCCAAATTACCCAGAGTTAAACCTTGATCCTTGAGTTGTTTCTGTATCTCACTGACATCTTCTTTTAATTTAAAAAGTTTCTGTTCATTTCCCTTAAGCTTTTGAATCTTAAGATAATCATAATATAATGTTAGGTTACAGATTTTTAGGGAAGGACAAGGAATAGTCTCTAAGTTAATTAAGACTATAGCCCCCCCTTTTTATAATCATTAACACCCTGCATAAACCCACACAAAATTAATTTTCTTTTGAGGTACAATATACAAAATGTATTCTATAATCATGTTTGTAGTTCCATTTATTCTTGACACATGCATACACCTATAAAACTACAATCCATATCAAGTCAGAGAATACTTCTGGCATTCCCTAAAGTGCCTGTGAACCCCTTCCCTAGAGGTAATTGCTATTGGGATCTTTATCATACTTGATCAGTTTTACCTACTTTTGAACCTTCCTAAGACAGTGTATTCTCCTGATGATAGGTATTTGTTTTCAAGTTTCCCACCATTTTGGATAAAGCTGCTACAGACATTCTTGTAAATGTCTTTTTAGAGATGTTATTTAGTCTTTTCTATTAGGTACATAACCAGGGAGTGGAAATACTGGGTCTTATGGCATTTAGTAAATACTGACAAGCTGTTTCTGAATGTGGCCAATCCATCTCATATTCTGAAGATTTCAAACACAACAAATCAGATATTCAATCAAAAACCCCTGCAAAATATCTTTTCTTATAATCTGGCATTTGAATTTTCTAAATCTATTTTCATATTTTCCATTTCATCTGTCTTTTCAGAAATAATTCCTGAGTTTATTAATAGTTTCTTGGTGCTCATTCAGATCCATGTGAGCAATTCTTAGTTCTTCTTGCTTTTTCAGATCCTTTTAAGAACAAGGTCATATCTTAATGTTAACTACTTTTTTTAGTGAAGTGATATATTTTCTTAGTAAAAATAATATTGCATTTACTTCTTAATTTACATTGTTGTTACAAAAGTTAAAGACTTTCTCTTACTGTCCTTATTCTCCACACTCTACTCCTCTTTTAGAAGTAAACAAACTACACATACTATTTAACAGCTGGATTCCTCCACTTCAGGGTTATCTTGGACTTCCAAATAGGATGTCAAAATCTGTTTCACTTTTTGTAGGGCTGAACAGGATTTTGATATATGGCTCATATTTACCCAGTTTCCTTGGGAGGAACATTTAAATTGTTTCCCATTTTTATTACAAACTACTACAATGAACAACCTTGTGGTGTTGTGGTGTACATATGTACGTATGTTTGTGTGTATATATTTATTTAAGTAATTGAGTCAGTATACATGTAGGATAAAATCTATGAAGAAAATGCTGGTTATATAACTTAAAGTTTTTAAGAAAAAGAATATTAAATTATCTGCTTAAAAGATTATCATGTCGCTCTTGCCAACAATACCACTTGTTTCAAAGAAGGTTCATTGCTCTAAGAAAACATTTATTTGCTAGCAAGAAGAATGAGTGTAACTTACTTTTGCTTCTGTTTCTCTAAGGCTTTCCCTCAGCTTGTCTCGTTCCATTTTGAGAGTTTCCTCCACAATTCTTAGGCCATCATTTTCCTCAGTAAAAAATTTCAGTTTTTCAAGGCTCTCATTTATTTTCTGAGTCAACATTAACTTCTCTAATTCTAAACTCTCCAGAGTTGAGTTCTGAGCTTCCAGTTGTTTCTTCAGTTGCTCTGTTTCATACACATTTTCCTTCAGGTCATTTTTTACTTTAAGAAGTTGATGTTCTTTCTCCCGAAGTTCTTGGATCTTGAGATAAACATGCAATAAGTTAGGATATTGAAGATATAAATAAAAACCCAAATAATAGCTTCAAAGTTGAGTAGATAAATCTTGTCTTCAATTTTAGGCTAATTCATGTCCTGTTTCATTATACAAAAGACCTGATTTGAACTCCTAGTTACTCAAATAACAACTTAAAAGAAAATACCTGTGCTTTTATGGCAGCATTTGCATTTTCTAAGTTCATTTGCATATTTGATATTTCATCAATTTTTTCAGAAACAGTTCTTTGGAGTTTATCAATAGTTTCTTGGTGCTCTTTCAGATCCATGTGAGCGATTCTTAGTTCCTCTTGTTTCTCTAAGTCCTTTATTATTAGAGGAAGAAAAAATATCGAGAATAACACAATTAAAATGCTACAGTAAGATAGAAGGCAAGAAGTAAAAGTCCTCCTTAACCTTTATAAGGCTTCCCAGTCTTCACCCTTTAAGCCACTTCAGAATGTCAACACTTGCTCTGGATATATTCTACAATAGAATAAATTTCTGTTGCTGTAAGCCACCAAGGTTATGGTAATTTGATATACCATCCCTAGGAAACTGATATAGGCTGATCAAGATGATAAAGTAAAAATGTAAAAATAAAGTTGAAAGGCATAGATAAGCATTTAAATATAGGCACCAAATAAATAATTCTCCTTTATCTTAAAAAACTTTTAAAATTTATAGCTCTCAATGGACTTTTATTTTATTTATTTATTTATATGTGGTGCTGAGAATCAAACCCAGTACCTCACCATGCTAGGCAAGCCACTGAATCACAACCCCAGCACCTTATTTTCAATTTAAGTAAGAAGGAGTGGCCTAAAACAAATTCAGAGGCATTAACTTCCAAGGCTGTTGACTTCACTTCCTTAGGAGGAGTAAAATAGACACAAGGTTTTAGCAAATTCAATCAGATGAGATAAGGAAAGGGAAAGGGATTTGGCTTAAAAGAAAATATAGCTTAGGAAAAAAATACTACACAGAAGAACAACAGAAACCACAGCATATTATCTATAATGCAAGTGGCACTGCTCTTAGCTTAAATAGACCTCTGTGGTTGTATTTCAGAATCACTTGGGCAGTATGGTTGTTACAGGAGTCTTGGGTTTTATACATGCATTGCACCATCCTACCTCCATGAAAGGAGTGATTCAAGGAGTGATTTGGGAAACTACAAACTTCTTAGTGATGGTGATAGTATTAAGCCTTTCATTTTAAAGACCAACAAATACATCTTCATATGGGGAGGATTTTTGCTTTGTTGACTAATGTCTCTTAAGTGCCCAGGATGATGCCTGGCCCATATAGTGTTCAACAAGTATTTGACTGATGACTACATCAGATGATTAGTTTAAAAGATCAAGGTACCTTCTCACCTAAAGACTCTGGAATAATGTAACCTCACAAAAAATGTTAGTTAGGATTCTGTGAATTGAAACTTCAAAATACCAGAATGAAGATCTGTTCTTTTGCAAATATAATGTGCTATTCTTGCATTTAGGCTATGGGAATCAAAAACTATTATCAAAAATGTTTAATCAAGAAAAATGGCCAGGAAGATAACTTAAAAAAAATTTACCTTTTCCTTTAGCTTTTCTTCAACTTTTGCCAGTCTCTCACAGGTCTTAGAAAGCTCTTTGTCTTTCTTCATGACGTGGTTCTTTTCTTGTGCAACTATCTCTTGTTGCTTTTTAAGTTCATCTTCAAGAATTCTTAATTCTTCCTGGTTTTTAATGGTCTAGAATAAAACAAGAAGTTGGGATTAAAACAAATAATATTAGCTTACATTTATGAAACCAGGTAAAAATCGGCATTTACCTCAGCCTATAAATGAAGAAACTATATAGTGAAACTATATAGTAAAAATGAATTTAAAAGAAAGTGAATCTTTAATCATGTAAATCTTTAATCATAGAGAATCTGCTTTTTATGTTCAATTATTATTGCTCAGTTTATATTCCTATGAGAATTAGAATTGGATTTACCATCCAATCAAGAAAGTTTAGCTCATTTTCTGTGCCTAAACTCAAAAAGACTGCTAAGTATTCACTGACTGAGTTTCTCACATGAAGCATTAGCTTTGGTTTTGAGCACTATCATCAGCAAACTCAAAATGGTAGCTGCCCTTTGTAGCACTATGAGGGCTAACTTGTCATGAAGCTTGCACAGTGGCATTCTCATGTATCAAGACCACAAAACAACATGCCAGAGTTAGAATGTAATTTTTGTTTATTTAATTTATGCATATTTACATTTAGCAATTTGGACAGAGCAGACTTTTCCAAGAAACGTGAAAAATTAGAAAACACAGATCCCTACTGTGATCTATAGAGAATTTCTCCATTTATCAATTCAACCTGTACAGATTATACTTCCTCCAAACAAAGATACAAAAACTAAAGGAGGTGTGAAGATATTGGCAAATGCCAACAATTAAAAATAAAGGTAAAAAATTACAACAGTAAGAGAAATACTTAGGATCAAATTTAATAAAATAAGTAAAAGGATTGTAGAATAAAAACCTGTAACACTGTATTGAGAGAGAGATAAATTATAGAAGACATCTAAAAGCCAGTTAGTATATGAAAAAGTGTTCAGCATCTTTAGTCATTAGGGAAAGGCAAATCAAAACAACACGACATATATTCATCAGAGTGGCTAAAATTAAAAGCACCAGTAAATACGAAGTGTTGGTGAGGAAGGATGTGGAGCCACCAGAATTTTCTCAATTTGCTGATATGAATGTAAAATGGTAAAACTCATTTGGAAATCAGTCTAGCAAATTCTAATCAAGGTAATATACATTTCCCTATGTCTTAGCAACTCCATTTAGTGAGTACACAGGCAGAAACATTTGTCAAAAGTAACCGAACTGTATACTTCCACGAGATACATATAGCGCTTGTAGAATATATCTCAATAAAATTGATAAAAATCTAAAACAAAGACAAAAATGTTATCACCAAGTTTATAGTGCTAAATCTTACCATTTCAATATTTTCCTTTAGGTCAGTCTTTAGTTGTTCCTTTTCTGCTGTAATACTTTCCAACATTTGTTGGAGTTCATTTTTCTCCTGTATTAAAGAACAGATCATTTTCTGTTGCTCAGTCACATCACTATCCTTAAGGTCTCCAATTAATGCCTGGTTTGTTTTAGCTTCCAAATTCTGTTTCTTATTCATGTCTCCTACCTAAAATAGAAATACATTAAAGAAGATTTTTTAAAATTTGTTCTAATTAGTTATACATGACAGTAGAATGTATTTTGACAAATCATACATAAATGGAACATAATTTCTCATTTGTCTGGTTGTACATAATGTAGTTACACAGGTCGTGTAATCATATATGCACTTAGGGTACTAATGCCCCATTCATTCTATTATCATTCTTACCCCAATGCCTCTTCCCCTTCCTTCACTCCCCTCTTTCTAGTCCAAAATATCTCTATCCCCCTCCTCTCCCCACTGTGAATTAGCATCCACATAACAGAGAAAACATTTGGCTCTTGGTTCTTTGGATTGACTTATTTGGCTTAGCATAATATTCTCCAGTTCCATCCATTTAGCAGCAAATGCCATAATTTCATTTTTCTTTAAGGTTGAATAATATTACATTGTGTATATATACCACAGGTTTTTTAAACCTTTATTTTATTTATTTATTTTTACGTTGTGCTGAGGATTGAACCCAGAGCATTGCACATGGTAGGCGAGTGCTCTACCACTGAGCCACAAACCCAGCTCCTATATACCACAGTTTTAAAGAAGAATTTCTTAAGTAGTCAATAACAATCACTTTAATATTAAACAAACACCTAACTATCATGTTTTATTATGTACCAGGCATTGCTCTCATATTTTAACACGTTTAACTTTTACTACAACTTTGAGGTAGATATTATTAATATCTGCATTTGACTGATGAGAAAGTTGGATTATAGAGGGGTAAAGTCACTTACTCAAGGTGATACAAAGAGAGGAATAGCCAGACTCAAGGGTCTAGCTCCAGAGCTTGTGAATTTTGACCTGTTCACTGATGAGAACTATCTGGACAACTATAAATATTATAATTATTTTCATGTATAATATTTTAACCTGACTTTATGTATATTCACTTACTTCAAACCAATTATAAAATTAAAAGACAAATCCCTTTCCTTTCTATATATTTTCCATAAATATTGCATAACTTTCACACTAGAAGTATTTTTTCTTCTAAAGAAGGAAGAAGCAACTTTAAACTTAATCCCTTTATTTTTCCCCATCTGAGTCATCTCTAGCTCTTACTTCTAGTAAAGCTTCATTTTTCAGAACTGTTTACTTACAAAAATCATAAGTTTTATTATAAGCAGAGAACAAAATTTTGATAGAAGCTCATCTCTTTTTGTAAAAGCGTGATACATCTTTTCTCAATGTGTTTTTACATTCTGCATGTTATAATAATTTATTAATGCATAAATAAGTCATAACCAAATGTAACCTAATGTATGAACTTTTTGGTAAAGGAAAACAAAGACTGACACTACAATTGTTTGTATGAAATTAGGGAACCATTCAGCTTCATATTGACCACACTCTACAAGTTTCTATAATATCTCTAATCACATAGCTGGTACGTTTAATTCATACGGATATGGTCTGTAAAAGAATACAAAGCAGACTGAAATAATCTTTTGTAATGATACTCAAAGTACATTTCAAATCTGAACTCACTCTAGAAAGTATTTCAGCTACTCCAGTTGGTTGTAAGTACAATCTAATAGACCTAATTATTAAAAAAAAAAAAATGTCATTTATATGAGATGAAGTTCACTAATTCCAAAATTTAAAATTTCTCTTGAGATCAACTAAAGAAAACTAGATTTCCAGAAAGAGACACAAACAGGATTGAAAATGATTCCTTTAAGTGGATTTAGGATAGACCTATCACAGGAGCCTTCTGGTTCCCAGGTAAACAGAGTGCACCTGGGAATCCCCAGACTCATTCATTATTATATTGTTAATTCCAACATGAACATGATACCATAAAGCACAGGAAGCAAAAGTAAAAATAGATACATTTGAGTACATCAAAATTAAAAATCTCCTTAGAGAATAGTATAGTGGTTGAAATAAGAACTTTTACATAGAACACTTGAAGACTGCAGTAGTTAATATTTTGGTTGCTTTTTTTCCCCCCTTTCCCCTCACATCCTCTTATATGTAATTTTGTATAACAATCAGGGTATCCTTCCATTTCCATGCAATTCCCCTTCTCTCTCCCACCTCTCGTCCCTGTTTAATGGTAATCTTCTTCTGATGCTCTTCCTCCCTGCTCTGTTTTGAGTTGCCCTCCTTATATCAAAGAAGACATTCAGCATTTTTTTTTTTTTTAGGGATTGGCTAGTTTCACTTAGCATAATCTGCTCTAATGCTATCCATTTTCCTGCAAATGCCATGATTTTGTTATTTTTTAGTGCTGAGTAATATTCCATTGTGAATAAATGCCACATTTTTTTTTTTTTATCCATTCATCTATTGAAGGGCATCTAGGTTGGTTCCACAGTCTAGCTATTGTGAATTGTGCTGCTATAAACATCCATGTAGCTGTATCCCTATAGTACGCTCTTTTTAGGTCTTTGGGGAATAGTCTGAGAAGGGGAAGGGAGAGAAATGAATTACAGTAGATGGGGTAGAGAGAGAAGATGGGAGGGGAGGGGAGGAGAGGGAGGATAGGAAGGGGATAGGAAAGGCAGCAAAATACAACAGACACTAGGATGGCAGTATGTATAAACTTGGATGTGTAACCAATGTGATCCTGCAATCTGTACACATGGTAAAAATGGGAGTTTATAACCCACTTGAATCAAATGTATAAAATATGTTAAGAGCATTGTAATGTTTTCAACAACCAATAAAAAATAAATAAAATAAAATATTATTTTATTGGAAAAAAAATATTTGATTTTGGAAATTATCTGACTTTGTTCCCCTTTTCCTTCTAATGGCTGCTGATTTTGCTCTTGATCATTTTATACTGCCCTATGTGAGCCCTACATATGTAATTTTATTGTCAGCGGTCTCAAGTCCAATCTTCTACATTGATAGAGTATATGCTGTTAATTAATAAAATTTATTTCTTATCTTCCCTCTGGAAAAAAAAAAATTTTTGGTTGCTAAGTGGAATAAGCCAATCCCCCAAAACCAAAGGCTA